GTTTCCAGAGTGGCAGGTAGGTGACAGCGGGGAGCGGTGGGCGCGCTGTGGAAACTGGTGCTCTCGTGCCCTGGCCAGAGGGGTCGTCGGTCACCAGCTCAGCCTAAGACTGCCCCATGGAAAGGCCGGGCCAGGGTGGTGTGAGGTTGGATGCTTTTGTACAAGACACCAGGTATCCCAATTTTCAGGTTTCCTCTACCCCCTTCCCCAAGTTGGACTTCTATTTCCATTTTTTTTTTTTTTAATAAAAGTTAGACACATCTGCTGGCTGGTTTTGGCCCGTGGGCTGCTGATGGACGATCTCTGCAAGAGACCATTGTTCTGAGGCTTCATCTTTGCTGCTTCAGTGGCTACCCGGGTGACCTCAAAGTCTCCTTGCGTGTGGTCAGGGGTAATTGTGCCAAGACTGAATTTGAGCATTTCGCAGGACATCTGGTGGGAGGGAACCAGTCTCCTGGCTGGTGAGCCGACCGCCAGCCCTGTGTCCTCCGTCTCCTCTGTGACATGTGTCACATTCATGGTAAATCTCCTGAATTGATACGCCTTTTGTTTCTCTGCGAGAGAGATGAAAGCCAAGTTCTGGTGAAGCAAAGAGAAAGTGAAGTTAACAGAAGAGAGATGGTTTTCAAGCAGAAAAGAGCAGTTTGGGATAAATTAAAATGTGCATTTGGCTTTTGCTGGTGGCGCAGATTTATTGTGTGAATAAATCCACCAACGCTAGATCTGTGAGGAGAATAAATCCACCCTGGTGGGTATCCAGAGCAGTGCACAAATGGCTCACCCAAGCGAGCACCGAGAGCGTCAAAAAGAGTTAAAAGGTGGTTGCCTCGAGTGTGGTGGAGAAATGCGCCGTAAACACCAGCCGGTCAGCAGAAATGTAATTCGGGAGAACACAGGCACAGACATTTCTGGGAAGCCACGGGTGGCGAAAGCATTCTTAGCAGAGCTGCAGAGTTGACCTTCACTCAGAGAAAGGCTGATTTAATTTTTAAAAGCATCATCTTAGCATAATCTGGCTCAAAGGGCACACAGGCAGCGCCCAGTGATTATGGAGTGTGGCGTCTTGCCTCGCCAATGACAGCCGTGGGGCAGAAGAGTCCGTGCAGACTGCACTGGACCCCCAGAAGAAAATGCCCTCCTGAATATCTTTATCCAGGAAAAGGTGGGCCCCGCTGGTCAAGGTCAGAGCCACCGGCCCGGAGGGCGGAGGCCGGCGGCGTGGGCAAGCAGCTCTCCCGCAACGGACTTTGCAAGTGACTTTGGCGGAGCCAGAGGCAGATGAGGGAGCTCGAGGGTTTCAGGTGCTGCTTGTCCTGGCACTGCCAGAGCCTCCCACCGCACGTGCTGGTGAACTACCCCCATCTCATCCCCTGATTTATAGAGCCACCGCTAGGATCTGAAGGGGTCTGAATTTTTCAGCTCTGCTTTACTGCAGATGACGGAGGAAAGTATTTGCTTTACCGCACTTGATAGGGTTTAGAGTTGAAATCACTTTCCATTCATTCTTCTGACAGAAATCCTAATGCCAGGTGCCAGGGTATAGCAGTTAAACAGGTGGGCATGGCGTCCTGAAGTAGCACGGGCCGACGGGGAGAGCCGAGGCCCTCTGCTGCAGCTCCTCTGCGCGCCAGCTCCACCCACCGCGGGCCTTGGCACCTGCTGCTCCCTTGGCCGGGAACTGCTCCCCAGATGGGTGTCCACAGGCGCGTCTGCGGGTCTTGCTCAGAGGTCACCTCCCTTGACCGTGTGTCTCATACGGGGTCCTCACCCGCACCCCCAATCCAACGCACCTCCAGCCTCTGCCCTGCTTGGCTTCCGGCACGCACCACCTGCCGAGTGCCTGTTTTTGCTCCCCAGGCATGTCCCACCCACCTCCAGACCTCCTGCAGCCAATCAACATGGCAGTAAAGACAGACACCCACCTTGCTGCAGCCCCCTCGGCTCGAGAACCTGCACCCTGCACGTGGGGTTTCCCCACGCCAGCCCAGTGTAGCCAGGGCCAGTGACTGCGTGGACGCCAGTGTGGCACTCAGCCCTTTGAACGCTCGCGTTCCCCTGGCAGTCGGAACGGCTGCTCGTGAGCCAGCATCTTCTGACCCGCCCTTTCTCTGCCAGTGCTTGGGTTGCCTCCAGCCCCTCCAGCCATAGAGGCGGCCGCGTCTGAGGCAAACAAGAAGCAAAGCCTCCTTGGCAGGGGGAGCGGGTGAGCAGAAGCCCCATCCCAGGTCCAGCAGCTCCTTACTCTCCTGTGCCCTGGGGCAGCATCGGTACAATGGTGTGAGCAGGTCCAGCAGAGCCAGGAAAGGACCCTTTCTGGCCATGGCGGGGCTGAGGGTCCCTGGGCGCCTGTGACCCCCGGGGAAGTGGACTGGCCGGGGCCTGTGTCAGACCAGCCCTTGGACTCTGTTGGCCTTCACTGTGCTTCTTAAAAACCGGAATATGGGGCCCTCCCTGGTGGTGCAGCATGTTAGGACGCAGCACTACAAGTTGGCTGCAGCCGCTTCAGTGCGAGTTGGATCCCCGCCCCTGAGGTGACCCACATGGCGCGGCAGACCTCTCCTGACCCGCCCGCTGCTCCCCTCAGTAGTGCACTTCATTGAGCTGCCTCTTCTGCTCCCCGCTCTGTCTCTGGTGAAGCCTCTCACCGCCCCTGCACCTCTGGCCTGTACCGCAGTTCCGTAGGCATAAATAATAAATAAATCTTTAAAAAAAAAAAAAACAGAATATGTGATAAGCAAATAAAATTCAGGCCATTTCACCTAGGTTTCAGATCCTCGCTTGTCTAGCAGCACAGTCCTGAGGGCGCCTCGCTGCGCCCTCCGTGGGGCTCAGCCCCCACACTCAGTCTCACCCTGCCCCGGCCCTGGGACTTCGCAGGTGCGGCTCCTCTCCGGGTGCCTGGAGTAAGTGGGCATTCCCTCGTTTTAGCCCACGGCCTCTGTGAAAACCGGCTGCCCCAGCCCCCAGCGCCCAAGGGGACAGTCCAAGGGAGCTGGGCGCCAGCGCGCTCCCCATGTGGCTGCCCCAGCTCTCTGCGGGGACGTCACTTCTCACAGGACCGAGCAGGAGCCGCCACCCCCCCCCAGCCAGAGAGCCCCCGAGGCGCACCCCAGCAGTCTCCCACAAGCAGGCTGGCCTTAAGGTCACTCTGTGTGCCCTCAGCAAAGGACACTGCGCGCCTACACGGAACTCCATCTGGGCAGCTGTGGGCCCCGCTGGGAGGCCGACTTGGCCTCCTGACCCCACCTGTGCTAACCACGCCCTGGGGCGCTGTCCTCCTGAACCCCACACCCCCCCAGCTCAACTGAAAGCAACTCCACGGTCCACTTCCTCACTTCCTCCACCTGGAGTCATGCCTCGCGCTTCTCCTTAGCCTCTTGGCACAGGGATGCAGAGTCCGGCCACCCTGAGCCCCTGCGGGGCCGCCGAGCCCCTCCCCTCCCTTCTGTCTGTTCTGTGCTCAGCACCTGGGCGTCCCCATCTCCCTGGGTCTTCCGAGGCTCTGCCCCACCTGCCCACCCCCCATCGCCTCTCCAGCTGTGACCGTGTCTCTCCGCCCCAGCCTGGCTCCTGCCCCCACCTCGCGCCTCCCTGCAGGCCGAGTGCCCACCCACATGCCCTGGCCCCAGCGCTTCTTCCCCCACACCCCTCCCTGCTGCCTGGCACCCGGCACTCTGCTCTTTTTCTGGCTTCTCATCTCCCTCCTTGGGGGCAGGGGTCTGGATCTAGCTGGTCACTGTGTCCCCAGTGCCGAGACGGCCTGGCCCAGGGACACTCACTAAACATTTTCAGGGGGGAAGAGATTCAGTAGGCAAAAGCCCCTGTCAACATCCCAATGGAAACATTTTGAGCAGTTCTACTTTAAATGGAGGTGTTTTTTTGATATAGAAAGAACCCAAGCATCAATCATTGAAAGGGTGTTAGTGACCCCCCCATGCGTCCATTACCCCACCTTGCCTGTAGTCGCTTAATGGTCAGTTTCACTTCGGCCCCACCCCCTCCCCAGAGGACCAGGAAGCCAATTCAAGTCACCATATCCGTAATCTGTCAGTGTGCACAGCTGCATAGTACTCGGTGATGGATAGATCATGATTTATTCAATCTTATTGCGCGCTTTTTTGCATCTCACTTTATATTTTATAAAATTAAGTTTCCATTCACTGGAACTTGCAGAATCAACCCACCATTGCAATGCTTTTTCCCTAGGAGCACGGAAGCCAGGGGCTCCTTTCAAGCAGCTCCTTCCTTCTCCGTCCCCAGAAGCAGCTGTGCAACACCCCTTAACCTGAGTGCCACCCCTGCACTTCTTGTTACCCCTGCAAAAAGAAACTAAACCACATAGACCTATTCCAGAATACCCTTCTTCCCGCCATGGTATTCTCTATTACTCCGCTATTCTCTATCACTCCACAGGGATGCTTTGTTGGAGGGTGAAATTGTTTCTATGGCTTTTAATTAGATACAATTTCAGGTTTAAAGGATTGTACCATGAGGCTCCTGCTCCCCCTTTACCCACTCTCCAGTTAGGACCGTTTCCTCTCAGAGGACTCAGATTTGTGTGCTCTTCCCTCAGCACATATATGTATCTGTCCCTTGAGATCAAGTTGCAGGCATTCCCCCCTTTACCTCAGACTCTGCACTGAGTATTTCCTGAGATTAAGCGCATTCATTTGACTTTATTATCACAGTGCATTTGCGAAATTCAACTAGGTAGCATGAATACAATACCACCACCCCTCCCTTTACTTGCTGTAAAGTGTGCCCTAGGGCAGTGCTTGCCCACCCACATCCAGTCCCAAGCTCACCTCCCTAGCCCAGTCTGCCCGGCCTCCTTTACTCTGGAAAGCTTCCCTAGCCGCCTTTGTCTTGAGTGACCTTGACATTTTCGGAAAGTACAGACCAGTTGTTTTATAGAATGTAGCTCAATTTGGATCTAATTGATTTTGAACTGCACTTGGGGAATGCAATCTAAAGGCGCACCCCCTATATTCTGCCCACAGGACCTGGCAGCCGAAGAGAGAGACCCCTGTCAGCAACCCGAAAACCCGTGCTAGAGGCTGAGGACCGAGAAGAAGACGCCTCGGCAGTGCTCCAAGCCATCCGGGTGGAGAACGAAGCGCTGCAGAGGTCACTCCTCAGCCGGAAGACCGTGCCCCCTGCCAGCACACTGCCCGCACAGGTGGGCCCACAGCAGAGGGACAGCACTGAGGGGGCTCGGGCTTCTCAGGGACCAGGCCAGGTCTGAGCAGCGAGGGAAGGAGAGAAAGGCCTTATAGCACCCTTGACTCGGACTAAGCTGCGTGGCCACTGCTCCACGTGGTTGCTCACCAACCTGCCCGGTCCCCGTTCCTCCAGAAAGCCAGGTAGGGATGCTGGATTTGCCTCTAGTCTTGGCTGGATTTCCTGCAAACCCTGAGTTCTTTAGTGGTTCAGAGAAAGGATGGGGTAACCCACCAGCTCTGGCTTCTCTGGGAAGACCCCATTCCCCAGCTCATAAGCCCCTCGCCCTCCGCAGTCCTCACCACCCCCTGCTGAGCTGTGCTTTATCCGTGTCACCGGCTCAGGGGGCCGCCCAAGCCCCCCAGAATTTGGGTTTGTGCTGCTGCCTTTAATTTGGAGCAACAGACGAAAGAATGAAGGCAGTGTGGGGTAGGGGCCTTGGGGCGCCGGGGCCCTAGCCCGAGCTCAGGGCCGGCGGCCCCCCTCTGCAGGGCGCTCCCTGAATCACCTCTCAGAACCCTTTCTCTCAGCTCAACCTTGGTGCTCGTAGCAACCTCAAACAAGCAGGGCTGCTGTCGTCACCCCATTTATATAGGGGTTGCTGGTACCAAGAACAAGGTGTCCTCAGGTGGTGTCTTGGGAAGTGGTGGGGGGGTGCTCCTCCCATCCTCTGCCCCAGCTTCTGTGGTGCACTGCCCCTGGGGGAGCTCAGTGCTTTGCCTATGCCGTTGGTATTGTTATAGGGCACCTCAATTCAGAGAGAGGCACCCCTGAAGTCCCCAAAACCTGCCTGCTCTAAGTGGGTTCTGTCATCCGCCGCAACAAGACAAAACATATAAAGCTTTAGTGAAAAGTGACTTTAATACAATGAATATACAATATGAAACACAAAGAATGTAACTTCTAAATCAAACACCTGAAGTTACCCATCCCCTCGTGGGCAAAAGTCAACCCAAAAGGGATTGGCCCAAAGCAAGGCCTGAAAGCCTGCCACAAGACTAAAGCACCTTCTGGCCGGGACCCATGGAAAAGGGTCAGAAATGGCCAGACAAATCTGAGAGGAAAAGAGCAAAAGCAAAATCAATATAAACACTGCCATAGTCACCTCCCTACAGGTATCTCACCCACGTCTGCCTTAACCAGTCCAGGGTCAGGAAACAAGCCCGGTTTCTTCATCACATGTTTGCTACTCCATGTGGCTTCCTTAGGTCTCCTTCTCCATCTGCCTTCTGCCTTCCTTCTCTCTTCTTCTCTCTCCTTTTTCTCTGCTCAGTTCCACCCTCCTTCTGGGTGGGGCAGGGAACCTGGAACTTCCCTTCTCCTAGGGACCACCCAGTTACAGTATCTCAAGATGCCCCTGCCCCTCTGTACCCTCCTGTGTCGCTGGGTGGCGGCTGGCTTCATGCTGACCTCAGGTCATGTGATCACGTCATTCCAGGGTGTGACTTCAGGTCATGTGATCACGTCATTCCAGGGTGTGGAGGAGCTCCCAGCCAGACCATGGTGCAGTCTGCCCAAGGAGAAGGGCGAGACCCCGGAGGTCAGTGAGGGCCCGAGGGGATCAACCAATCCCATTCCCACAGCACCCAGAGGGCTCTCCCCCAACAGACCCCAGGGCCCAGCAGGTCCCCCTGTGCTCCCCTGGGGAGACGCTGGCCAGAGTGACTTGCCCAAGGCTACAAGACAAAGCCAGGATTCTCACCCAGGCCTGCTGACTCTATTCCTTGTCATGGAATTAGACTGTTCCTGTTTCCTGACCACACAAAAGTGGATCTTAGTCAGCTGAATAGTAAATAAAACCTGTATCTAGCTAGGGCAGCGAAGACTGCCCAGCAAATACAGACACGAGGTCAGTAAAGGCCCCAGCAGTGTCTCTGCTAGGCTGTGCCAGGTCTAAGCTGGGGTCCCCGGGCACAGGGGTCTGGGACAGAGCCCAGCAGCCCCTGGCCGCGTAGAGCTTACAGGCAAGCAAAGCCGTAGACAACGAGGTGACTGCAGAGAGAGACTGAAAGCTGCCAATGTGCCAGAGCTGCCTCCACGTGGCCCGAGGAGTCCCCGCAGAGGGCACCCTGTTTAGCTGGTACCTGCCTGTTAGGGAGTCGGCTGGCAACAGGGGCAGCGTTCCAGGTGGAAGGAACGGGGTTAGCAGTGAGCGCAGCTTGTCCAGGAGCAGGAAGAAGCCTGACTGATGGGGACGGCAGGGAGGGGAGACCTGGGGTGCAGTGGGGGAGGGGCGAGAGCCCCCCCCCCCCCCCCGTGGGCTGGGCACTGTAATGGCTTTCTTTCTGCACTGTTCCTATGGTTCTATACTCCCAGTCTTCATAGGCTGTTGCCCACCAATACTCCTAAAGAGGTTGCCCACCCCCGACCCCCTGGCCCCTAATCCCCAACCCACAGAACTTCTGTGACGAAAATCATTTGCACTAGAGAGCAGGGCCTGTTTCTAGTTTAGATATGTGAAAGGACCGGGAAGAGCTCAAAGGCAGGGAGAGCTCAAAGGGCCTAAGTCTGTTCCTGGAATTGGCCCTGGAATCCTGTTACTTTGTAGCAAACAGAACAGGGGTTCAGTTGAGATGGGAGAGGATATGAGGAAGGAAAGTCTTCCAGTAGCTCCCTTTGGTGGATGACTTCCTGCACCTCCCACAGCATGCGAAGCTGAGGCCCCTGCTTATTTGCAAAGACCCAGCGAGAGCTTCTAGAACCGGTCAGCCCCCAAACAGGCCTGGCATTCACACCCCTACTCCCCGAAGGCCTGAGAAGTGTGTCCCTTTGACCACGTCTCTGCTGGGGCCCTGCTGGGCCAGTTGTGTCACCTCGGACACCCGTGTAATGAGCTTTCTCATCCTCAGCAGCTTCCTACCACGTCAACCAGCACGCAGGAGCCAGCCAGGGCGGCAGGGGGCGCCAGAGCCGTCAGCGAGGCCATCGACAGAATCAGTCTTTTGGGAAGCAGGTACTGGGCCAGGCAGCCTCAAAACACAAACAGGAACCCGGGGTCCATGCACGAGGGTCTTATTAAGGGAAGGTTGTCTTTGCTTGTCCCATGTTATTCCAGGCCACCTTACACTGCTCCCTTAGACTAGACCCTCCCAGCCTCCCTCCAGCCCTGAAGGACAAATTTGACTTGATTTTTTTTTTTTTAACCAAATGTCTCTCCACTTGTTCAGTTGATTCCATCCTGTGTGAAACTCCAGCCTTTTCAAAGGTTTCTACCGAAGCATCTGCGCAGTGCTTGGCAGTGAACTTGTTCCCAGCTGGCCTGGGAGGGGAGCCCAAAGCAGTCCTTTGAACCTTCTTTTCTCTATTAAGAGTTGTTCAAAGGCAGTGTTCTGTTCTGTGAACAGGTAGCACCCGTCATTAGAACTGTCAGGTTTTATCATGAAAATAAAGGCTGCCTCTAGTCTTCAGGCAAAATTGACCTTAATGCGCTGGATGGCAGCGTGGTTTCCAGCCGAGGATAGCACACAGCCTCGGTCACTGTGCGGACCTGGGCAGTCCAGGACCGTCCGGGATGAGGGTCTGGAACTCAGCCGGCACCTGGCCACCAAGCTCACGCCTGCGCCTGAGAGGAGGGCTTTCCTAGCCTGTGAATTCACCCAGAAGCTGTTTCCTACTCACAATTAGTAGGAAAACTGAATGGCAGCGCTTGCCATGTCCCCAGGCGTCTGTGGACGCCAGACTAGACACCGTGGCTGCCTCCCAGCGTGGCCATCAAGAGGACTGGCCATTTCCCTGCAGGTGAAAAGGCTGGACCGAGAGGCCAGTTCACTTCTGATGCCATTTTATTCCCGCCGCACACACATCACCCAGCAATGCTCTCTCCATCACCAAGAATGTTGTGCCCCAGGATCTTGGGGAGCTCAGCCTTAAACGCCACATAGGGGGTACGTTTGCAGATAACTGCTGCGTTTGGAATGCTGTGTGCTTGGACATAAGAGGGACAGAGCAGTCTCCAGACCAGCAAGCGTTTCCAGCCCAGCACCAGAGAGTAAACACTTCAGACTTTGCACGTTTAGTTCATTTCCCATTTGTTTTAAAGGCCACACATACAGAAACAGGCCGCAGGCTGCATCTGACCTGCCAGCTGTGCTTTGCCAATCACTGCTCCGGGCTCTTACGGGTCACTAGGCAGCTTAGGGAGGGCGGCTGGCCATCCTGCCCCAAACAGTGGGTTCTCCTTGGCTCTGACTTTTTGTCACTAATTGTACGGTTATTTACAAAGGGAGGGAAACAGCTGGGTGCACCCTGGATCTGCAGGGGTGTGTGTACTGTTCGCTACTCCTCTCGGTAGAAAAGTAAGTGCCGTACCCTGGATGGGAGTATTCTCTTCTGTGTTACACCTGCTTGCTAAAAACAAAATCCCATTTCAGACAACAGCAGAAGCTTCTCAAAGTCCTTCAGGCCCTCGAAAGTGACTCTGCCCACCTCAGCCGGGTTGTTTCTTCAACTGAGGAGCAAGTGAGAGACCCTGAGGTAAGAACCTCAGCAGTTATGTTCCGTGTCCCCACCCGAAGCTTGGGTTTGTAAATCTGGCATCCCGCTACCCACGTCTCCCTCTGCCCTCCTCCCAGCACGAGAAGTTTCAGCAATGAGAAGCTCCGAGTTCTCTTGTCTATACAAGAGAACTATAAATAGCACATAAACCCACAGGAAAATGTCCAACATTGCTGGTGATCAAGAAATGCAAATTAGAACAACCTTAATGTCCTATTTGATGTCTGATTTAACAAATTATTTTTGATGATAGCCTCTGATACTGGCACAGCTCTGTGAAGCTGGCAGACTCCCTGGCTGGCAGCAGATACGCTGGCACGTTCTTGAAAAGCAAAAAGGCAGACAGCTCTGTCGTCACGCCCCAGCCCCATTTCTGACCCCAAGGAAATCACCTCACAGAAATCACCAGCTACGACAGAGATGTCTACTGCAGAATCATTGGGGGGGTGGGGGTGGATAATAAAAGAAAAACAGAATGACGTACACGGCCCATAGTAGTGGAGTTCGTCAGGGAAGCATAGGATGTGTCAGCACAGGCGGTGGCAATGGAAACGGCCGTTCTGGGGGTGATGCAGATAGAAACCGCCCAGGCCGGAGAGTTAACTGCAAACGGGGCTCCACATCTTTGTGGGATCCGAAGGGCTGCTAGGGCTGTGCCAGCGTTGCCTGAGCGTGTCGATGGGGCCGGGACGCAGCCTGCAAGGGGTCAGCATCGGGGTAGGAGGGCGAGGGGGAGGGCTCCTTTTCCCTTGTGCCACAGCGGTCAGTCCCATCGGATGTCCGCGTTAACATTACTTTTGCCGAGGGCCTCTGACACTGGCGCGCGCATGCTCTCACCCCTTCCTTAGCCCACGCCTGTCTTCCGGTCACTTGGTTCTGTGTTCCCCCATCTCACGATGGGTCCGTCAAGGACCTAACCCGAAGCGCCCCACTTGCATGACAGCAGGACCCCGCGACTCAAGCCCGGGCTTTGACCCTGGCACCTTGACCTAGAGGTCATGTGGCCTTGGTCGAGCCTGCTGAGCGCTCTGGCCTGGGAGTGGCTGTCCACTTGGGTCAGCGGCCTGCAGCCCCCGCCGTGGTGAGGCTGGTACCGGCAGGGCCCGGCAGGGTGGACTGCTGAACCCTGGCCAGGAGGAACCGGCACCTAACAGTTGAGCGTTTGGCATCTAGAAAAATCAAAGCTTTGTTCTCCCCTGCCTGGAACAGTTGCTTTCTAAGCTGTGAAGATTCTTAAGTGTGGTGAAACTTCGGCCACATTAAAAAGAGCCTGGTTTGATCAAGTCTCTTTGTTGTGAGAGACAAAAACCCAGGGCAGAGTGGCTGAGACAACAAAGAGAAGAAATATGATAGGTTCTTGTCATAAATGCCACAATCGGGATGCACGGGGCTCGGGCAGCAGCTCACACTGTCTTGCCCTGGGCCTCTGCGGCCTCGGGCACCCCTGAGCACCTCCCCGACCTCTGTGTCCGGCCACAGCACTGCACCCCATGGGCCCTCTCTGGCTGGAACAGCCCCACCACTCCCCCTCGAACCATTCCGCCATCCAGAGGCCTGGTAGCTCCCACCTGCGTCTCTCCCAGGGCGTGGAAGCCGGCCGGCCTTCAGCAGAGCCACCAGCACAGATCCGAGGGGACAGGACATGCTGATCCCGGGACTAGTCAGCTCCTCCTGGGGCGAGGGAGCCCAGGCCCGCACCTCCGGCCTGAGCAAAGAGAAGGGTGACTTTCCCAAGGGAGAATTGGGTGGTGAGGGCCAGGATGCAGCCACTTCCCAACGCATGTTTGCCTGAGACCCCCTCAGAGGAGAGATCCTGAGTCAAGCAACTGAAAAGCAGGAGTTGCCATGGGGTCACAGCCTGGACAAGCTGTGACACTGTCATGCTTTACAGACTCCTCAGATTTGTCCTGCAGAATCCCAGCTGCAGGAATCTGCACATTTTAGATTGCGGTGGGAGTGAGACCAGCAGCACCTCTGGGAGCAGATTGGCGCCAGAGGCCAAGGCCAGCAGCTTTCTCGCCTCCCAGGCCGCTCATCCGGCAGTGGCGACTGCCCCCCAAGCTCAAGCTCGTTAACCTCCTATCCGCCCCCCTCAGGAGCCAGTTTAGATTTATCATGGTCCTTCAAGCCTGGGACTCAGGCCCAGGGCAAGGGAGGCCTCGACCAGCCCCCCTCCGCTTTCCCCCATCTCCCCCTTTGCAGCAGAGGTAGAAACTGTGGGGTCTGGGGCCAAGCTAACAGAGAAAGGGGGTTCCTTCTGGGAGCTGGGAGCGGACCTCCCTGCCTCCTTCCCCGTCCTAATCACAAGGAAGTCGGAGCACGGTCAACACATGCCAAGAGCGATGGCGCGTCTCGCTGGCTACTAATTAAAAAAATAAGTAGGGAGCAGTTGCTGTTCCTTTGCTCAGCAACCTGCTTACAGAGCCCTTGCCGATCAGCAGCGCTAATTAACAGAGGGCGAGTGTGCGCAGGGCGGATCCGGAGACCAGTACTGCGGTGGGGCCCACGGGGCCGCAGGAAGCCGCTCCACAGCCGGGCCCTTCCTCGCTGTCCCCTGTCCCCAACCGGGCGAGGGACGTGGAGCGACTTGTCCTGGGTCCTCTGTAACCCACTGTACTGCCCAGCTGCGCCCACGAAGTCCCCCACGCGAGGACAGGGGTCTCTGCCCAGTTCTGGGAGCGAGACTCTAAGACCCAGGTGTCGCGGGTCTGGTTCCCGAGAGGCCGCCCCCCAGCCTGCAGCTGCCTGCCTCCTCGCCGTGCAGCAAGGCCTTTCTCTGCGCCCCTGCACCCCTGGTCTCTCTGTAGGTGTCTGCATGTCGTCTGATGAGGACATGGGTCAAACTGGGCTAGGGCCCACCCTGATGGCCGCCCTCGATCTTAAGAGCCTGTAAAAGGCTTATCTCCATACCCCGCCCTAGCCCGAGGCACCAGGCTTGGGGACTGAGCATCTGAAACTGGGCTGTCCCGCTCCACCTGCTGATTCGCAGAAGCCGTGGCACGCCTCCGACACTGGTGTTTAGGGACAAAGGTGCATGATGTTCAGAAGAACCTGATGGCTTCTAGATGCTTTTTTTTTTTTTAATGTGCAAGCTCTTATAGAAAACACTGACCAGGGCCCTCCCTGGTCGCGTAGGTTAAAGCGCAGCACTGCAAGCGAGCAGCAGCCTCTTCAGTGCAAGTTCGATCCCCACCTGCCCCGGAGGTGACCCACATGGTGTGGCAGACCTCTCCTGACCCGCCCGCTGCTCCCCTCAGCAGTGTGCTTCATTGATCTGCCTGTTCCGCTGCCCACTCTGTCTCTGGTGAAGCTTCTCACCGCCCCTGCACCTCTGGCCTATACTTCAATTCTGTATGCATAAGTAAATAAATCTTAAAATAAAACAAAATGGCCACATCTCATCTATAAAAAAAGAAAAAGAAAACACAGACTATATTTTAAATGTGTTGCAAATTACAGCTCACGTGGTCTTCATAAAGACCCTGTGCAGTGGGTGCTTTGCTTTGTTTGCATCATCTGAATAAAATTTCTCATTTGTGCTTTTTCCTTTCTTTCTTGGTTTTCTTCCACCACCATCTTTCATACCTCTCTGACCCTTTCTTTCTCCCCCTTCCCATCGAACCTCAGAAGACTTACTTCCTTTAATAACATTCTCTAGGCTTTAATAAGCTTTTGCCTTTGTTGAATCGTCCTATGCAGACAGCCAGTGTTTGTCATTCTGACTTGCTTTTTACATATTATCCCCTGAACACCTTCCATTTTGCTGTAAATGCAACATTTCCTTATAATGAATAATATTCCATGTATGGATAAACCCCATCTTCTTTTTTAGTTTTTGCGTAGAACTGGGGTGTAGGCCAGGAAACAGGGGTAACAGCATTCAGCACAGACAGAGTGGGGAGCAGGACCGGCAGGTCTACACTGCTGAGGGGTGTGCACACACTGAGCAGGCCAGACAGGGGAGGTCTGCTGCGCCGTGTGGGTCAGCTCCCTGGCTGGGGATCAAGCTCGAGCCGTAGCGGTGATGGCGCTGAGCCAGGCCCCATCTTCTTGACCCAGGGCTCTATCAAATTGCTTCTCAGTCCTGGCTACCATAAATATGCTGCAGTAAACATTGTAGAACTTACACGTCTTGAGTTGATGGTTTCATGTTCTTTGGATTTATGCCCAAGCGTGGAATTGCTGAGTCACACAGCATTTCCAAGATGAAGGTAAACCAGATCGCTTTCCAAAATGGCTGTGCCGGTTCCCATGCCGACCAGCAGTGTGGTGGGGTCCTCTTCCTCTGCACCCCCTCAAGCACTTTTCTGTTGGAGGTACTCTCACTGGAGTGTGAGAGCTCATTGTGGTTTTGATCCGCAACTTCCTTATTAAATGTGACGCTGAGCATGTCCCCCAGGGGTTCTTTGGGGGCTGTTTATTGTTAAATTGACTTGGTTTTTGCAGTGACTGCCTTTCTTATCCTCACTGTACAGATGAGAACCCAGGGCTGTAGTGGTCAAAGAAGCTGTTTAGTGATAGAGCTGAATTCCACCTGTCGTTTATTAATAACGTCTTTCTCTTTGTTAAGGGCAAATCAAGACGGAAAGCAGAGGAAGACAAGGACGCTGCCTACGTGACCATAGAAATCTTATCCAACTGGGGCAACACGTCATGGGTGGGCCTCACGGAGGTCGAGTTCTTCGACCTGAACGACACAAAGCTTTACGTGTCCCCTCACGATGTGGACATCCGGAGCACGGCCTCGCCTGGGGACCTGGGCCGCCTGGTCAACAGGAACTTAGCTGTAAGTGCAAGGGCGTCGGTCTCGGCCCCATATCCACGCACCTCTCTGCCCTCAGGTCCATACGGGCACAAGGGTGGGAGAAGGATAAAGGATCTCCCACGGCCATCCACCTGGGAGGCGGGTTCCCAGCTCATTGCCACGGGCAGCCCCCCGCACTGCTACCTTAGACTCATCTGCAAAGGGAGATAATAATGATATGATGGAGCGCTGGAAGGGTCAAGGAGCACCGTGCCTGCGCACCCCAGGGCTCGCCAGTGTCAGCTACAGGTTTCCATTGTTAGGATCATCAATGGTATGAACACCAAGAAGTAGCTCGAGCTCCCATTTTAGAGAAAAGGAAAGGAAGGGCGATTCTGAAACTCCCAGTTCTGGAAACCCAGGCTCTGGCCTTGACTCTGCAGCCTTCAGCGACTCACTGGCTTTCCCTCTGCATCCTCTTTTCTGCCCCTTTATCAAATGGGAGGGGGAGGGAGTGTGGGTAATCCTAATGGTTCTTACTCGGGCAATGATAGAAGTGGAGTCTGACTTTCGCCAATTTGTTCAAAGACGTGTGTATTGAGTTTTGAGCCACTGGGGTGCGAACTGTCGCCCGAGGGGCTCAGAATGGGCCCCCCGGTTGTGCTAAGATCTAGGTGGCATCCTGAGGACTTGAACACCAAAGGTTTGGTGGTTTGGCAGGAGGGGGCCAGTATTTGTTGGTTAATTGATTAACTAGTTAACATGTCACCCCTTCTCTCCATGGAAAACATCCAGTGCCAGTCTAGCCAGGAGGGCTGGGTACCCTGGGACTGGGTATGCCCCCAAGGCTGGGAGGGAATCCTCCCTGAGGAAATTCAGGGTTGTTACTGGAAAAAAGGCGGGATTGGAGCTAAGCAGCAGGGCAGTGACAGCCCACCACCGTGTTAACTGAGTGTCCGAGCCTCTTAAGAACCAGCATCTCTGTAACCCCCAACCTTGAAGTAATGGGCCCTGTGGCCTGCACCCCCGGATGTTCCGGCCTTGCAGGTCTCTGCTGTGCTTCCTGCCTGAGTCTGTGCTCCCTGGGTGTGCTGCTGGGGCTGGACCAGCCTGGCCACCCCTTCCTGTCCCCCTAGAATCGTGCCATTTTGGAAGCATATCAGAGGCAATAAAAAGCATCATTGGATTTGAGGGGACCAGTTCAATGATTACCCTCTCCCCCTCTGCAGGCTTGGCCGTGTGATAGCAGTGAGGACTTTGGTTTCGGTGGATTTGGGGGGTGTTTTGTGGCCCTTAGGTTGGAGCATGAGGCAGTGGTTTCATCTGGGCTGTGGGTGTCTGGGCCCGGCAGTGGGTGGGCCGGATCCCCCCTCCTGCCCTGCTATAGGGTGTCCTTAAAAGCCAGCCCATGTACCAGTTCTGGAGCTGCCAGGACGAATTACGGCTTCTCAGAACCATCCGATCTCCTGGGATTTGTTAAAGCAGAGTATGCCAGCCAGAGCCTCAGCCATCCCGCATTTAATCCTGGGGACCCTTGGGGCTCCTGGCCACATCTCATAAATGCACAGGCCGAGTCTTGCAGAAGTGCGGGACGCAGGCCATGGCGAGGTGGAGCCACTGAGAGCTGTGACGGGCACTGAGGTTGCTCAGTGGAGGTGCCTTGGCAAGCCAGGAGACGTGGGAGCACCCCCCACTCGGGACAGGCCCTCCTCCCTGCCGGGCCTGCACCATCCTCTTATTGCTCTGCCCAGGCCTGTGGCTTCGGATGATTGCACATTCATATGCTGCTGCTTCTCGGAGCAGCAGCCCTGCCTGCTTCTCGGAGCTCCTGGCTTCAAAGTCAATTTTCCTGCCTGACTTCTCTCCTTAGATGCGACTGGACATCTCAAACGCCAGGGATCCAAAACCTCAGCCTCGACTCCCCTGTCCACACCGCATCTCAGCCTTCTCTGATATTCCTTCCTCAGCTGCCCGTTACACCAAGTGTCCCTTGAGTGTCCCAACACCTCTCCCCCGGCCTCCTGCACACCAGCGCGTCCTGTTGACTCTGCCCCACAGCAGACTCTGGGCCCTGGCCCTTCTCTCTCCTGCCACTGTACCTCCAAGCCTGACGGACGCTTCCTTCTCATTGCCCTGTGGCCTCCTACCTCGGGCCTTTCTGTTCCTGTCCTGTCCACTCTGTTGTCTACTCTGTCTCCAAAGTGGTCTTTTGAAACTATCACTTTGTACCCCGCCACCTCCGCCACCCCCACTTAAATCTCCTGCCATGACTGTGTATTGTACCTAGCAGTAAAATCAGAGCCCCCGGTGGCCTGGGAGGCTTCCTGTCTGCCCGCTTCTTACCCCCATCTCACACACAGGGTGCCAACAGCCCAGCCCCCTTTCTGCCCCTCTGACCTGCCTCCTCGGTTCCACCTCTGGCTTCTAAAATTGTGATTTTTTTTTTAACTAGAGATCTGAATTATTTCTCAAAGATTTTTTTTTTTAAAGATTTATTTATTTGTGCATACAGAACTGGGGTTCAGGCCAGAGGCTCAGGGGCGGCGAGAGGCTTCACCAGAGACAGAGTGGTGAACAGAACAGGCAGACAGACGAAGTACACTGCTGAGGGGAGCAGCGGGTGGGTCAGGAGAGGTCTGCCACGCCATGTGGTCACCTCTGGAGCAGGCGGGAATCGAACTCATGCCGAAGCGGCTTTAGATTCTCAGGGCTGTGCTTTAACCCGCTGCGCCACCAGGGAGGGCCCCTCAAAGATTTTTTAAATACAAAGAGATCCATGTGTCTTTCCCCAGCTTTCCCCAATGGTAAGATCCAAAGTAACCACAGCCCATCATCAAAATCAGGAAACTGACATTAGCATAATACGCAGATGCTCATGCCTTCATCGGTGCGTGTGTAGATACGACTTCTCCGCACTTTTATCCTGGGTAGATTCCAGTGACCACAAGGTCATCAAGATCCAGAAGAGTTACATCACCAGAAGGGCCTCCCCACACGTGTCCCTACACTCAACACCGCTGATCTGTTCTCTGTACTTTTTGTCACTTCAAGAATGCTGTAGAAATAGAATCATGGGGCCCTCCCTGGAGGCGCAACGGGTTAAAGCGCAGCACTGCAAGCGAGCTGCAGCTGCCTCAGTGCGAGTTTGATCCCCGCCCGCCCCAGAGCTGACCCATATGGCGCGGCAGACCTTTCCTGACCCACCTGCTGCTCCCCTCAGCAGTGCACTTTGTCGATCTGCCTGTTCTGCTCCCCACTCTGTCGCTGGTGAATCCTCTCGCCACCCCCTGCACCTCTGACCTATACCCCAGCTCCGTATGCACACATAAATAAATCTCAAAAGAAATAGAACCATACCATCCATAACCTGTTTGAGATTGCCTTTTCCCCTCAGCACAGACCCTGGTTATCTATCCAAACTGTTCAGTGTACTTGTTCCTTTTTCATATGATCATTTCATAAATGATCACATTAAAATCATTTATGAAGGCGCGCCAGCATCTTCCAGTGGGTCTGTGTTAGGTTGACACTGGAAGAGAGAAACACTTCTGTTTAGGAGTTGGAAAGCTACTGCCCAAGAGAGGCCCTTCCTGGCTGTCCATTCTGTCTTTCCGTTGGCAGTTCATATTTCTTTCATTTTTCTTCACTGAATTTACCCCCACCTGATCTTTTCCTGGGCAGTCTTACCCCTGGCAGCACTGGAACCAGGCGGGTCAGGCTCCAGGCACAGCTCCCAGCCCCTCCCTCCCCCCCCCAGCAAGGACTGCGTGTTGCGTGTTTGCGTGTTTGTTGAACACGTGGGAAGTAGATGCTGCGGTCACCCCCCTGCCCCGCCAGCCCGTCCCTCCCACTGTCGTGGCCACCGCCTGCTCTTCCTACAGCCAGCCCTCATATTTCTCCAGGGAAGGGTTTCTTCCCTGGGCTCCCAGCAGCTGACCCAGCCTGGCAGGGAACTGGGACCACCCAGAGGTTCTCTTAGCCTTCCCCGGCGGGAACTGGGGTCTGCGCACGCCGGCTCCCCTGTCCTGCGGGTGCAGCCCCACTCCGAGGCCGTTTCCACGCGGGCTGCACCTTCCCCGTGGCGCCGGGCACCAGATGCCAGCCTGATGGGGCTCTGCACGGCTGCCCCCTCCCTCATTTCGCCTCCCCCATCTGACTCCTTTGCTGTCTCCACTCCCCACCTGGTGCCTTCCTTGCCTTGGGGTTTGCTGAGTAGCATGCAAACTAAGAATGAATGAATGAATTAAAAACCTAGGGTTAGATACTTTCTCCACCACTTGGGTATGGATCAGCCTTGGGGAAACAGCACCCCACGCTGGGCTCGGGTCTTTCTATGAAAGGCATGGCAGCGATGCTCAGTCCCAGGCGCAGTCCCAGTGAGGGCACCGAGTGGGCTATCAGCAGCTGAGGGGAGGGACCCCCACCACCCTCAAGTCCCGGAGCTGCTGTCACCCTGCCTGCTGCCCACTTGGTCCAGCCCCCAAGGGCTTCCCGCTGGCCTTTCTGTCGGGGGCTGTCTGGAAAGGCAGCATCAGAAGACTTGGGGGCCCTGACTTACCAGCAGGTTAATGCTCTCTGACTTTGACCACCACGGCTCCTACTCAGCCCTCTGATTCGCCTGCTGACAGACACGTGATGGGAGATCAAGCACAGTCCCCGTGCCCACACCCACGGGTCAGCAGCCCTCGGCCTCTTCCTTTGTCAAGCTGCCACAGTGACCCATTTTATGCCCCAACACGACGGAGTGAGACTCGCCCACTGGATGTCTCGATGGGGTGTCTTGACCCCTCGCAGCTGCCCAGAGCACTAAAAGTTCTTGCAGAGCTTGAGAAACTCGCCAGAATAAGTCAGAACCCCTTGAACTCATCCCTCCCCTCTAACAAAAGCAGCCTTCTCCCCCTGAAAGGCACATTGTCACCGGAACAGGCCACCTTTGTTCTCCCCTGCAGCTGGAGTCTGGGCCTCGCCTCTCCTGGGGGCCCCCAAAGCCCAGAGTCAGCCAATCTTTGCCTTCCCTGCCTCTGTCAAGTAGCAGGCACAGCCCCGGTGACAGAAGTCTGTTGAGACCTTCTCAAATGCAGGCCACTGCTCCATGCAGATAGAAGACCCAGCTCCAGCCAGGGTCAGAGGCCAAGGCCGCGCACTGGCAGATAGGACTGGGGAGGCTCAGCCCCAAGCCCGGACCCTAAGCTCAAGCCTGCAGGGGTAAGGCAGAGGCCTGAGGAGGGAAGAGAGGCCGGGGGGCGAAGCAGCCAGGTAATCTCCACTCTGGCCCCTGCCTCGGTGCCCACTCTGCCATGACATCCAGATCCCCAGAGAAAACAGCTCTAGCTCTAGGAGGGGGTGGGTAAGTGCAATCACCCCACCTTTAAGCGTTGGCAATGAATGTTCCTTTCTGTTTTTTTTTTTTTTTTTAAACAACCATTCGCAGCCAAACAAAGTAACTCTGCAGGCGACACCCAATTTACAATCTTCCCTACAACTGCCATGAGGGGACAGGTATGGGGGGGGTGGTGGGGGAGAGATTTCATGGAAGTACTCACTTCATCATTCAGCAGAGTTTGGGGGCATTTACCACGCGCCAAGGAACCTTGCTGAATGCTAAGCGTTCTGGAACAAACTATACACAGCCTCTTCCCTTAAAGGGGGTGGGTGGGCGGGTGACATGGACTTGAAAACAGGGACACTGGGGGACACTGAGGGAGATGCCAGCCTTAAGAGATGCCTGGAACCCAGGGTGCCCAGAGGGGTGAGGGTGAAGGGGCACTAGAGCTGCCTCGGGGGAGAAGGGCTGAAGCGCCCCTGGGGCGCAGACCCCGAGGGAGCCTGCATGAGCTCTGGAGCAGTGGAACTTGGGGGGTGGGGGAGGGTGGGGGCTGAGATGAGGCATCAGAAAGAAGAGGCAGGCGGCGAATGGAGCTGGGAAAGTCTCCTGATGGGGCTTTTTTCCACCTGCACCAAAGCCCGCCTGATGTGAAAATTTGTGGGTGCAAATGAAAACAGCAGCAAGGCTCCCTGCTCCTCTGCCCCTCTGGCTCAGAGTGTGGCCTTGGCAGCCTCGCTGGTGGCGGAAACCGCACCCCGGTCTCGGTCTCAAGGCTTGGAAACCCTGAAAGGGAGCAGAATCAATCCCGAGGCTCGGTGCCATGGCCGGGTCCCAACAAATGCCTGCGCCAGTTTCTTTCTTCTCTGTTTAAAAAAAAAAATTTTTTTTTTTTTTTAATCCTACAGGGTTTTACAAAAGAAAATCAAAGGCTGGCTGGCCAGAGAATCAAATGGTGCAAGTGGAGGCTCTTTTCCTGCAGTCCCTCCCTCTAGTCTCTCCCCACCCCCAGGGCTCTCCTCTGAGCCAATTAAGTCAATTAAAATAAAGCCCGCTGCATTTTAAATTCAGGCTGGAGGGCAGATCAGAGTGGCAGTGCCAGCCAGCGACCTGGAGCAGTGCAGACCCGGGGTGAGCTGGAAACCTCACCCAGGATTGTATCAGGAGCTGGCCGGCTTCCGCACGCCCTCCGCCCTCTCTGGTTCGCTCCCATCAGTGGGAGAGCCAGCCTGGGCTCCTTGGGGTGAGGCCAACAAGCGCTAACGACTCCCCCCCTTGCTGGTGTTGCAGAGCGGGAAGGACCCCTCCCTGTGGACGTGCCCCTTCCACCCTCCGCTCCAGCTCTTTTTTGTGATCCGCAACACGCGACAGACGCAGGACTTTGGTCTGGCCAAGATCAAGATTTGGAATTACTGGAGTGTGGATGGTGTAAGTAAGGGGGGAGGCGGGGGGGGGGTGAGGGGGGGCTCTGGTTCCTGGCCGGGCTGGTGGGCCGGCCCAGCACTCTCCAGTAGCCCGGTTCCTGGAGTCCGGGACCCATGCTGGGGCGCTGGGGCCTTCCTCCTGGGTGTGGCATTGTCAGAGCCCTGAGGAGCAGAGCCTCCAGGCAGGACTGGCAGATAAAATCTGGCACTCTAGAGGGAGCTGGAAAAGGAGGCACTGAGACTCACTTTTAACAGATAAGGAAGCAGAGAGGTCTGTAAGGTGCCTGGAGTCACACAGCCTGTAGCTGCAAGGGAGAATCCAAACCTGTGCAGACTGCAGACTCATTTGCATCATTAGCCAGGGCTTCTCCATCTTGATTTATTAAAAAAAAATTTTTTTTTAGTCATTGTTCAGGAGTAGTCCCTGTAGTTCTCCCATCACCATGGTGCATGTGCTCTTCTGCTCTCTCCTTTGCTGCATCCCTCAGGTCTGTGATCAGCGTCCACGTTTTGCCTTTTTTTTAAATTTGAGCTTCTGTTCATTTTCTCTATATTCCACATGTAAGTAAAACCATCCGATATTTATCTTTTTCCTGCCAACTTAACTCACTTAGCATAATCTCTGACAGCCACAGCCATGTTGCTGCAAATGACATGAGTTTATCCTTTTGGATCGCTGAGTAGTACTCCACTGTGTCTGTATTCCACCACGTCTTGATGCATCCACCTCTTTTGGAAGAGCTTTTCGATCTTTAATGCCTGGGCTCTGGTTAAACTGTCTGATTCAGCAAGTGCAGCGCACGGCCCTGCAGCCTGTGTCTATAGCTCCCAGGTGTACCAAGGCCCCTGGACCTGGCGCCCAGCCTCTGAGCTGTCTCTTCAGTCTCAGAATCCTTCTCCTCCTTTCTACCTTCACACCACCCCTGCATACCCATCTCTTTTTTTTTTCCTCATTGTGTTCACTTGCATTGACCCCTCTGCTCAACATTTATCATTGAGCACACAGTAGGTGCCATCTGGTTCATGTAAAGGACATGTTCTGAGGACATTCATGTAAAGGACAGTCCATGCTCCTGACGTCTCCTTGTCTAAAAAGCTGACAGCCATGTACATGGAGAAGATAGTGTGGTGAGCTGAATGCCTGGTGAAAGGTGAGCCCAGGGTTTCAAAGTAGCAGGGAGTCCCCAGGGACTCAGCAGGGAGCCAGTAGGTGAGGAACAAAAGGATCCTTCATCTCCCTCTTTTGATAGGCGTGGGGACAAGAGCTTTCCAATCTGTGATCAGGGAGGAATCGTGCAAGCGAGATGATAAATGGGAACTGACCCTGCGCCTTGGTGGTAGTGAGACACAAGGGCATGGTGGGGACTGTGGCACACTTGCAAGCTCGTGCCCCGGGCAGCACCTTTCAGCTTCGACTGTGTGTCTTGGAGAGTGCTGGCCAGTGCTGCCAGATTTGAGCTAGGAAGGTGGATTTTGCTATAGGCCTTTCTGGTGTGTCAGTGTCGGAGCTAATTTAAATTCTTTCAAAAGATGAGTTCAGGCTGAACTAGCCTGCACCACTGCAACCCTTGAGCATGGAGGTGTGAGCCTGCCTCGGGGAGAGAGAGGTCACGGAGGATACCGGATGGCGTGTCCACCTGAGCCATAGTAAAGACACAGCACCGAGCCCAGGGAGAACAGGAGGAAGTGTGTTCATGGTGAAGGGAACTGTATCTGCAAAGGCTTACACAGGCGGAAGGCCCTGCCTCGTAAACCTCCCCC